GAAGTCTCGAGTACGAATGCGGCCTGATGGGCCCCTACTGTGCCTCAGCGCAAAGTCAGAGGAGTTAGAGCGGCAATGGGACAGACACCTTGCTTTTTTCAACTCTTCAGTTGAACCTGTGGCCAGCGCCTGGCTCCATCTTGGAATGCGAGGACAGTTGGGCTGCTTTGGGGCTGGAAGCGGGGAACATGTTGTGGTGAGTGCCCACCGGCCACCAGAAAGAAGCCGGTGCCTTTGCAGCTGTTTGGGTTGTTGAGCCCGGTCCGGGCTGGCTTGAAATGTAAGAACATTTTTTTCTGACTCTTGGACAAACTCGGGGCCCAACCCAGCTGCCCACCTCACCCTGCCCCAGGCGGCAAGCCCCAGCGCCCGCATTTGGCAGTGCACTCGGAGACTCGGATCTCAGCTGGCGGGCCCCGTGGGGCGGGGGGGGGGGGGGTTTTGCAAGCCCCCATGGCCGCTGTGGCATGAAGGGCCCGCGGACTCCCATAGATGAAAGTGTTCTCCATTTGCTTGATTCATCCGAAGTGCAAACTCTATCGGGTTCAATGTGTGGTAGGTGCAGCCCAGAAGGGAAGATACTTTGTTACTACATGGAGGTTTCAGAGGCACTCTTATGGCAACATGCACAACCAATGACTTCGGTGTTTCCGCTTGGGTTGCTATCACTGTGCCCGTTCGTTTCGTGGCGTTGCCACCAAGACTCATCGTCTTCCTGACGCGGAGTGCGTGCATGTTGTCGTGCTTGCCGTGCATGCCGGAAGCTATTGCCAAATGGCTGGCCCTGCTTGACTAGCTGACGTTTTAATTGCACGTTAGTTGCTTAAGGTAAGTTTGGCACAAGCAATCTTTTTGTTGCCAGGTTCACTGTCCCGCTTCATGCGCCACGATATTCGTGTGTGAAGCACGTTTGCAGCGTGCCTTGAATCCAGCCAAGTCGTCCCATTTGATTTCCGGTGGGCTTGATGAAGACGGGCCACTCTGGTGTTCAATTAGTCTACCATGGTTGCTTGCCCCTTTCCCCACTCTGCAGGAAGCGCGGCGAAGCGTGAAACAGAGCACAAAAGGGTCCGGCCTAAATGCATGGGAGCACAGAAAATATATGGAACCAACCCAGTTGTGATCCGTCTTTCTCGCCATGCGAACAGCGATTGGCTAGGTCCCCCAGTAGTGCCCTTTTTATGTTTTATATTTTTTGGGGGGGAGGGTTCAAATACTAGAATAGACTACAGAAAAAACAAAGGAAGAAAAAAAACTCGGGTAACCTTGTTCTAACCTCTCAAATCTGGAGGACCTTGGGATGCGCCTGGAGCCCGGATCCAAGGCAACGGGGAGCGCTCCCCGGAGCCGGAGCTCAGCGGTCTGGCAGAGAAGCTCAGCCAGGGGCCCGGCGGGCTGCGCGGGCTGGACGCGTCCAGGGGGATGGTTTTTCTTTTCCCCGAGCCGTGGCAATCAACGGACTTCAGGGGCAAAGAGCTGAAGTCGCATAGGTCTCCTTAGGTGAGCCTGGTGGAAAAAAAATAGATGGGTTCCACTGGTTTACATGATGGTTTGGTTCCACTTGCCAGGGCCATCCACTTTGCCAGAAACCTATGTGAAGTCGTTTCGCGTTTGAGTTGTTTCGATTCTGGCCAGCCTCCAGCCCTGTCTCGGGCATTTTGTTTTACCGGGGAAGGTTCCAGTGTAGCCTTTTCCTGGACGAGATATGTATGTGTTTAGCTCTTCAGGAATAGCAGAGGGTCGATTGCTGTTGAACAAAATGTGTGGCTAGTCGTCGTGCGGGAGTTTCTGTTTGCGTGATATGTTTGTCTGGAATTCTGAGTCTGATTTTGTCAGGTGCTGATTTTGATTCTAGAGTGGCCTGCTCAAGAAGGAAGCGGCCCATAGGGTGCTGCTGGTATGACATTGCAACCTTGAACCTTGATGCTCCAGCTAATCGCCCAGTCACATTGTGTCTTGCCTTCTCGGCACCTCGGCTCAGGAACCAGTGTACAGTCCAAAGCGCGACGCCGCGCGGCTGATTTCAAACACAGCCCACCAACATTCACACACAGACCTTCAGCCACCGAGCGGATGGCCAACGCCTAGCCAACTCTGTGGCCTTTGGCCGCTTCGCCCATCGCCGTTGCCTCGGGAAGCGCGCGGCCATGGTCCACGAGGCGCAGCCCGAAGCGGCTTCGGCGCCTTCGACGCCTGCGTCGGCGAGAGCATCCCGGGTGCCCCGGCTGACAGACAAGGTGACCGCCGCAAGTGTCCAAAAGTCAACCAACGTCACTGGCTGTTTCGAGTTGGCAATGGCCGCTGTTTCCTGCACTTCGACAAGAACTCTGAGGCACCATGTCGCAACACTAGGAGCCTTGAACATCACCTGCCTTGCAAACGTTTGATGTTTCTGCTTCAGCCCGCACTTGGTGCCAAGGTGAAGCCCAACAAGAGCTTTGAAAACGAGAACGGCAACAACGCCAACTCAGTCCTGCAGCCCCCGCGGTTAAAGCCCAAAGATGTCGAGCTCCTGCAGGATCGGGCTGCAGCGTGTCGATCTGTGTGTGTGTGTGTGTGTGAAAGTGGGCTGGTGAAGGAAGGGCTGGCCGCAACGCAGAACTCCACCCAAGGTTCACAACTGCACCTGGAGGCTTCAAAACCTTTCCATGGCAGCAAGTGGTTGTGGCCTCTGGCTTTTGCTGAGGCTTCGGCGCTATACTGTTGCCTTGCAGTTGTTCCAATCGCAAGATGCGGTACGTCCGCGTGGTAGCTACTGCCTTTGGGCCCTAAGTATGCAATGAGGTGGCCATATCCTTCTAGGGCTTCGGAGCCTTCCCACGGGAGACTTTTGGATGCCCACCTGTGGATTCACTACGTCCAAGACACTGCCTCGGCTGATCAGTTGGGCCGGGAAGCAAGCGCAACCTTCGCTAGGGTTGCAAAGAAGAGCCTGGAAGTGTGCCATCAGACTGCGCTTGGTCTATCTTGGATGGGTCAACAAGTTCATGGATATGTTTTTGGCATTTTGCAAAGTCATGTTGACTTAATATGTTCACTCAACTCATGGTTGTGTGTTTTTGCTTGTTTCTCTTTTGTGTGTGGCCCCGCCGAGTGTTTTTTCTTCCTCAGCTCTGTGGCTTCGCGGCCAGGCGTCCTGGTCCCAGTTTCTGGAGAACGCCGACGGGGAGGAGAAAGCCGGCCAGGCGGAGCGATGAGTCAGCCCGGAGCGAGTCCTCGGGGTCCATGGGACTTGGGACGTTCTTTTGGCAGATGTGATGTTCACAATGTGTGAAATTCGCCGAGCTTGAGCTGGCTTTTCAGGTGGCTTGAACTTCCATTGGCTCGCTTGGGGTTTGGATTGGCTTGACATGGCTTGAATTTGAAACAGGTGATGGTGCTTGGGAATGGTTTGGATTGTGAACTGGAATTGTTTTGTTGCATTGACATTGGATCGGTTAGGATCGCTTGGGTTTTCTTTGTGGTCAAGCAGACTTTCGATACGTTTGCGCTTGTGCAAAACGGGGCCCATGCCATGCACACCTACTGAAACGCATGGTGATATTCCAAGTTTGTCGACCGAGCGTGATAGACAATCGAACATACTTAAGTGCTTACTTTCAGACAGCTTTTCAGCAAGTAATGCCTTGTGATTTTGGGTTTGGCTTTCTGCGGAAAGCAAGTAGCTCGAGTGGCCTGCGCGGATCAAACACCTAGCTTGAACTTGTAAAAGGCCAGCTTGGAAGGTCTTCTATGAGCTGCTTTTCGAGAAGGAGCCGGACATGGCGACGCATTTCACTTCTGTGCAGATTGCGCAGTGGTCCAACTTCATGCGTGCCATGACACGCTATGTCTCGCCGCTTGGCCAACGTCAGATTGATTTTGGATTCCTTCCTCAGCGCCCCTTGGGACTCGTTGCCCTGCCCTTGGAATTGCTGACTTTGGGCCCTACAGGCAAACGTTGCGACGTAACGCTGCATCCCATAAATGCCGAGAAGATTCCGAGGGCTTGGGGGTTGGGGCTGGGCTGGTCACCATCTGACTCTGCTTGCAACATGCACAAGCTGAGGCTTATGCAGCAGCCAGAGCAGCTTAGAGCTGCAGTGGAGGTTCTCGCCTTCCAGCACATGACGCTAGGCTGATTTGGCAACACGAATTGCACGGAGGCAAACTTCTTGCCGTTGCAGCATCCAGGTGGCCGCCTTCTTTGCATCATGTGGCACATGTGGCAAGGCTTATTCTGTCCAAGGCAGAGAGGTCGCTAGAGGCAAGTGTGATTGGTTTGACAAGGCAGTTCCTCACGTGACACCAAAGGCTGTGGTTGCCACCCCTATGTGAGCAGTGAAATGCAGGGAGAGGTTTGCGTTGCAAATTGCCTCGGAAGCTGCAAAGCGTGGGCTTCGGCAATTGCTTCCTGTTAAAGCCCCAGTTGCCTAGCTAGTTTTGGCAGGTGCCTGGAGTGCCCTTTAGTTCTGGCGATGTCTGGCTAAGTTTGGTGTCGTGTAAACAAAAGGTGTGCCAACATCCATTGACATTAAGCATCTCGAGCCATTTTGGACGTAAGGAATTATGAGATGGACGAGACGTCCATTTTTGCCTTTTCCGAAGCACTGCTGGAGCACTTCGGCACCACAAGCAGATATGGGGTGCGCAGTGGTTGGGTTCTTGCTGAGGGTAGTCACCAATTTTGGGAGAGTTCATTTGATAGAGGCTGTCCCTCCGATTGAGTGAGGCCTTTGCCGTCACTTGAGTCACAGTTTCACGCTTTCACAGAAGCCCACTGGGTCACAGCATGAGCAAAGGGTTGTGCAATTTCTGTACTCCGAGAATGTGCATTTAGATACATGTTACGTATATTTGCCGCTTCCCTGTTCCAGAATTCGTTCAAGTTATGTGGCCGGTTGTTTTCGCGACCCTGTCTCCTTACATCTTCCGACATGCTCGCGCAAGTCATTCAATGTGTGTTGCCATGGGCTCGGCTTGCGACCCAGTCGATGCCTTAACAACAAGGTGACGCAGCTCAACCGAACCCTGGAACCGTGACCGAGCCTTTGGGAAGAGGCAGCCGTTTTGGGACAAAATGGCGACTTGCGCTTTCAGGTTTGCGTGGCCCAGAAGTCTCCTCCCTTGTTTCTTTCGAATGAAAAGCCTATCTCTTGCCTCCACCGTCTCCCGCTGCAAATGCCGTTGCTTGCCTTCTGCCTCGGCTTCACTTTGGAGTGGCGAGTTTGCCTAAATGCAATTGTAGAAACGTACTACTCTGATCAGTCATAGTTTCATCATGTTTCATCCAATCCTCGCATCTCGTGAAAGTACGCGTCCAAACCGTGAAGCCGTGTATTGCCTCGACTTGTTGTCGGTTAAGTTGCGACAAGGTGCGTAGAGCAGAACCTAGAGCTGGACGAAAATGAGATGGAGCTTGTCATGCAGGCCCTGGCGGAGTTGACGAACTATATTGGGAATGCCCCTTGCCTGCACCACTGCAATTAGGGCAAGGGCCGCCTTTGGACTGAGAATCGGCCGAGAAAAGGCAAATTGGCACAAGCCTGAAGAACCGCAACCATGTCCAACATAAGAGATATGGCCAGCGTGTTCCGCCGTTTGGGGGCGGTTTGGTTGGCGCGCCATTCTGCGCAGCGGTCGTTTTTGCGCAGATCGGGCAATGCCGGAGACATCAACGACCATAAAGGAACAGACATGCTGGTGTTGTGTGTGTGTGTGTGAATTTTCAGCTAAGACCGTAGTCAGATGTAGTGAGGGGATTGCCAAAGCCGGCCCAGGTGTCATGTCAAGCAGCCTGCTTGAAGCATCCGCCTAAGCAGTTGACATGGACCGAATGAGACAGCTGCTCTGGGCTGCTGCACTTCGCCCAGGTCATCACGCACATCAAAGAGTCGCGGGTGGACGTGCAGAACATGCTGAAAACCAGCTGGAAACAAGCGCAGGACCCAACGGGACTGGCTGCTTCGGTTGGAGCAGCATGGGGGTTGCGTCAAAATGGGTCGGACCTTTGGACGGCTGTCAAGGGGAACCAACATGACGCTAACCGTTTGGAGGGATCCCCACTTTTCAAATTGACACAGTGCCACATCATGGCTCAGAGCATCAGCGCTTGGACCCCCATTCTGGAACATCAGCGCACTTTAATCTACATGTGGGTGCACTATCTTCGGGTGTCGCTACGCATATTTGGCCATTGCTATGCCTGCTGATAGGGGCCGGACCCAACTGGCCCTGGCAAAGCTTGTTTGGATCCCCGCGTTTTTCAGGTTCTTCGAGCAGCTTCCTGAATTTCAGTGATGGGCATCTGGCTTCATAAGCTGAGGCTAAGCTGTGTCAGTGTCGGGCACGTGCAAGACTTTTTTTGAGAATTGATGCGTTCGGAACTGATTGGTACTT